CATGTCGCGTGTCAGCGACATCACGCACGAGCTCCCCGTAGGGAAGCCTACGCTGGTAATCCGCGTGCCAGGAAGATCAAACAGCTTGTGTCCACTCCCACGCGGGCAAACGACCCAGTTTGATTCCCCGAATAAACTCCGATCGAACGGCTCATGTCGCCACACACAAATCTGGACAGACTGCCCAGATTAGTTTTCCAAATAGGCCCCATCGAATGATCATCCATGATCCACGTCAACCCAAACAAGCGGCCAAGATTGGGGGAAGAGAGGTATTTAAACCTCTCTTCAGTCGCCCCAAAACCCTAGTTAATGTAGGGACATCGCAGAAGAAGAATAAGGGCAACTGGAAAGGAACTCAGCTGCCAGAGGAATGCTAGCGCCACCGTTTCAGAACACCAAAACACTCCGATAAGCCCGAAATTCCTTTCTGTTCTTCCCATTTCTCCGCCTTTAGCCGCCTAACACATTTTCGATACAAGTGACAGAGAGAAACCGCAAACTACGAGTGAGTGACTGCAGAGCTCAGCTGAGCTGCCACACTGGAGGAACAAAACTGCTGGTAAGGCCCTATTTGTTTCCCTTCGTTCACCAAAAAACACCCTCTAACCATGATTTAAACAAATTTCTACCATGAACCAACCAAAATCGGTTCAGGCAAGGGGAAAAACCATCGAAGAAAAAGGACCATGCGGCGGAGCACAGCGGCACCACCATGCCGGAACCCTAACCCGACCCCCAGTAAGATTTTATTTTTTTTGTCATTCTTTGTGTATTTTCATGTTGTTTTGATGTACATTTTCAATTTTACTAGAAAAACTCAAAAAATTCAAGAACCGAGAACCGTTAAGAACCGTAGTGAAAAATGCGGTGTTCTGAACACCGACCCTGTGTAAGAATCCCTCACCATTTTTCTAATTACAGTTAAATTAAAGTTAAATCAATAATAAACAAAAAATTATAAGTACTTTGACAATCCCTTGATTAATTAAATACAGGATGTCAATAGAGCAGTAATAGGTCTGTCTATATTTGTCACTAGTGTAATTGTGTTAGCTATTTCTATAATCACTTTATTTTGTCTATTTATTTATTTTGTTCTATTTTCATTTACCTCACTATATTTTGTCTTAATTTATGTCCTGTGAGTGAGCATAATATATTTCCCGTTATTCTTGTTTTATATCTACATAGAATCAATATATTAATCATGCATATTAATTCATTATATCATATTCTATTTCGTTTCATTATCACATTCTACTATACTTAATTTCGCCTTGATTTATTCATTTAATTGTTTATTCATCATATTGCGACGTTTGAAGTTCTTATTCTAATACTCCATTTTATCCTCATTTTATTTACAAGTCTATTCACTTATGTATTTTGAAAAATGAATTTCGTATTCTTATGTTGTTTGGGATACGGGCATACGTGTCATTGGTGGCTAAATAGTAAATAAAAAAAAATGTATGAATAAATTAATATCATTGAATAAAAGGGTGTACCAGGTGTCATGGAAAAGAGTGTACAAATTAAT